GCATGTCAGTTGGTCATGGGCTGTGGCAGGGGAAGGTTTCCGATTTCTCACTTACTGGTGTGAAAGGAAGCTGGATGCGATGCATGTGCTTGTCGCAGTAGGCGGGTGAGCGAAACTTGGCCAGCTCTGCATTGAAGTCCAGTGCCACATAGGTGTGCTCATTGACCAATTCCTGGACACCACACAAATCACCAGATATTGAAAATTCAGATTTTTTATCCATTCTTGTAATCTCCCTGCATTTATGCCATACACAAAGCAGCCAGATCTACTCTCCAACAGCAAGCCGGCCAGCTACATGACTTGTCAGCCAGATAAACAACACTGTAGGCAGTCTGCAAAGGGCTGATAAGCTTTCTGACCAGCCACCTAACTCTGTGCCACGGGGAAAACTTTTTAGCCGGCTGACCAACATTCGTGGCATTCAGCCAGAATACAAGTCTCAAAAGTGTTAGCATCAGTTAAAAAAACCTTCAGACTGGTTTTGTGTGACTCACACGTATCAATGGGCCAGTTCGGTATTTCAAAAAGCCAAGGTCTTTCGGGAACAAAGCACGCACATTAGTCAGTGTAGGGACACGCTGATAGGACAGACTATCGCAGGCGCATGTTGCTGTTCCTGAATAGCCTTGTGTTGGGCAGGCACTGTCGGAATAACTTACTGGGTCATTGCGATGTCCATGTACTTACATGTATGTGCAATGGTCGCCGACATTTTCTCGTTAATTGAATGGCTGCCTACAACCCTCTCCCTAATAATAAACCAAAAAGGCCCCAGACCAATGAACAGGCTGTGTCCGAATTACTTGGCTGTGGTCTGAACTTACGCACCAGTCTATGGCAGTGGCCACAGACAGTTTCCATAGAGTAGTATGTTATTTCAAGCCATAGCCAAGTAATTCAGAGGCAGCCATATTATCACCACAGCTAGGAACCCTCATTTACGCACAATACGGGCGATTCTCAAGAGAGTGCCTCCAAGAGTTTGAAATGCATTGACCAATCACAGTGTGTGAAATCTGTTGACCTTTTCCAAACACGCACGGGTCAACAGATTTCGTGCACTGAGATTGACCAACGCATTGTAAACTCTTGGAGGTGCACTCTTGTGAAACAACTGTATCATCATTAACACAAAACTACCTCTGCCCTGCTCAGGTTGATAGCTGCAAAGTGGGCGGGGTATTTGAGTTGCAGTAGTTTGTGCATGAAGGCCACGGCATGAGCCCCGCCCACGTTGATGCGCTTGCAACGTTTGCTGTCCAGCCGGCCTTGCACCATGGGCAGGATGTGGGTAGTCTGGTAGCCCGAGGCCAGAACCAGACCGTCCAATGTTCCTGTGAGGCAAACACAACCACCAACAGCGCTTTTTAAGAATCAAGACCGCATGTGGCACGAGTTACAAAAATTAGAAATAATTAAGGATGAATTTAATGCTTTGTTTATCAAGAGTGGGGCGGGCACTTTTGCTTGCAGTGAATGGCATTAGCCACTTTCTGTCTGAGGACTTGTTCACATGCGAGGACTCCCTGTGCCTTTCACACAGAAGATGCTTAAATGTGCTTGCCGAATTCTGTATGCAGTGCTGGATGGCATCCCCATGCTAGAGCGACTCCATTGGAGTTTGTATCTGAACAGAAATGCAAACTAGCCAGTTTGTGGAGGCTGAGTGTGTGAGGCGCCTTCAAGCAAGCATGGTGGGGCTCAGCGACACTGTCTCAGAACTTCAAAAAGTGACAATGCAGTAAGACATATGTCTTTCAAATCTTGAACAAATGACCACCAAGGGTCAGCATTCAATAAGTCCAACTTTGTAAAGGAATGATACTGTTTGCAAGTGTTTAATGAAAAAAAATTCATGTTACCAGCATCAGGGAAGTTATTATAGAAGCTGAATAGGCTGTCGACACCAAAGGCAACCTTGGGAACGTGGTAACACTCAAAGAGAAGCTCTGACATCACTGAAAGATTCAAGATCACAACTGAGAATTTTATTAAAACTCTTCCCTGTTTAAAACAAACCTAACAAATTTACGAAGAAAGGATCAGGTTCATCTTCTTGTTACAATCAGTTTCTTGTGATGGAATGAAAAACCTGCCTACAATTTTTGTACAGTCACAGTTTTGGCCCATTTGGTACCATCCAATGAAATCTAGATCACAAACGTAATGTATTCGTAATTCATAAACAAAGAATTTTTTACAATAGGTAACATCAATATTTGCTTTTTTTTCCACTCTCATTAAACAAATTTTTGTTTAAGGAATTTTAGAAAAATGATCTTCGTGCTTTCGATAAATAGATGGAAGTATTTCAAGTTAGATTGAACCCAGCAGACCTGTGAGTGGTTTTTGATTTTAGAGACAAATCCTGCAACAGAAAAAAGTTGAGATTGGGGAAACCTCCCCTGGTTGGGATTAAGTTGAAGAAGCAATATGTGAATAATGCCAAAACTCACAATGCCTGCAGTAGTTGGGGTTGCAAAGCGTCTCCGTCAGCACCAGCGGGTGCTGAACCTCGCCCTCCGTGTCCACGCCCAACCGGCCCAAGGCGTGGTCCAGCACTGTTTCCTGGGCGGCGTAATTGGTGACCGCGTCCCGGTCGAAGGGTGTCTTGAGCAGCCAGCGCACCGCCTCCACGTTGGGCAAGATGTCATTGCCCACCTGCGGGGCGTCTGGGTGATCCCCCCGCCTACTGGCGCCACTGGCTCCACCCCCTCCTCCACCCCGCTGGCGGGCGATGAGGTTGCGGAAGACCAGCCGGGGGGCAGGGTCGCTGGCCCAGCCCACCCTGCAGAAGCAAGACCCTGGACGGGAGGGATTGCAAGAGACCAATCACTCAAACACCGCCCATGATAAATGTGGGCAATAAACGAGCACTTGTACAACGCCTTACTGCATACACGTATTCTTGTTTAGGCCACATGTGTTACACACGAAAATATGGATCGGTCTAAAGGAGAATAAAGCAAAACTGTTTGACAATGCTCTGGGAAAACATCACAAGACTATCCACAAGTCAAGTCACAAGGATGAGGGTGAACAATAACAAAGAAATGCTTTGGTTGCTGTTCATTTGAATAGCTTGGGACTTGAAATCAGACTGAAGGTCTTGGGTTGGTCTTGCATTTTCTCAATAAAAAGTTGTAGTCGAGTACAAGTACTCCAACACTTGTGGTAACTTACCATTATCAATGATGAGTGGCATTCCACTGTCTCGCAAGCTGGTCGGATAGTCCTGGACTTTATCCGGAGTGACCTTCAGGTAGCCATCTTTGAACTTGAAGATGTTAGCACTAGTTACATCTAGTGATGGAGAGAAAATGGCATAAAAAGTGTTACACCCCAACTATGGCGTCTGTCCAAACTATAGTTGGGACAGTGCCCATTGTAGTGCTGCAGTTGGGCTGGCCCAACTATTGTTGACCAATTTCTATACAAATTTTCTCAACCGTATCCACGTTTATGCAAGCGTGCACTTGACACAACTTTATCTATGACATGACACTGTAAATAATATGACTTTGGCACATGCTGGACACATGCACACTGGACCTCTGTGCTGCAGTTGGCTGGCCCAACTACAGCACTCTAGTTGGGACGGGTCCAACTATAGTTGGGACTGATGTTATAGTTGGGGCGTAACAACTGAGTATGTTGTACATCATGTATGGGCCTGCTTGGCCTTACCATGATTCTACCACCGTGGCCTCACTTACTATGTATGCACTGCAATGGCACTATCCATTCTTTCCTAAAATTTACACTCAAAAGTTCACAATCGTTGGAAATCTACTGCCAGTACAACTTAGTGACTATACGAATAATAACATAAACATCTCTTCACATTCGGAAAGTCACATTTATTAATATTTGAGCATTTTTACCCATGGCAGACGAATCATTCATGTTGATTGTACTTTGCAGAAGCTAGCATTTTTAAAGAGCGCCATCAAGTGTCTGAAAGAGTGTTTATTATTTTCTGCAAATGGACATTCTTTGTCCAGAGGATTTATTTAATAACTTTACTCTCCTTCTCTGTTACTGATAACGATGATAAGATTTTTATGAATTATTATGAAGTCAGTAAGCCATTATCAATTTTGAAGTATAAATTAAAATACGGTGTCTCTCTTTTTGTGAAAGATCTAAATGGAAAATCATTACTTTTGGAACTGGAACAGCCCATAAGATTTGACGCATGCGTAAAATTATTTTCATCTGGGACTCCGTTTTGTGTGTAGAAAAGGCCAGGGCCTAGACTAGAGCGAGAAGTCTTTGCAGGACATTTTCAAAAAAAATTATTTAATTGATATGAAAGTCTAGGTTCAGTGTACTAAGTTGGTAATCCAGTTAAGTGAGTGAGTATGAAATGAAATTCTTCGTATTTTACGCATAAAAGTGGATTTTTTGAGGGGTTCAATGTCCGATGACGGTCAGTAGGCATGGTCATATGCGCGACGTGATGGGGTCAGACAACTGAGCGCAGCCAGTGATTCCCCATGGACATAAAGAGTGAAAGATGATAAACAGTGATTGAATAGATTTCCTCTGTAATACCATTAATTAGAATAAAATGTCTTGCCTATTTTACATTCATGTGTGCATTCGGTTCGTATTTCATGTTCATGTCTTTCAACTTTCATGTTATGAGTGATGTGACCTGTAACCGGTTAACCATGTACCATGGCATTGGCATGATGTATGGTCACTGTCGTTATCCTTTATTATTAGCGTTTGTTGAATGTTAGGCCTTTAAGAAAAGATAATTTAGTTATGATTTCAGTTTACATGATTAATGCTTAAAAATAAAAATGTTAGACCTTACAACTTACACAGTTTATGCACTGTGCAGTATGCTGTATCAAGGCAAGGGCTTTGTATACGTATCTGAAGATACATTAAGCTCAAGTAAACCTTTTGTGCATTCATCATAAGTACATCTAACAGCGTAGTTTAAGGAACCAACGTATAACAGACAGTGCACAGCCTCTCAAGCATCCTGGCTGAATAGTAAAAGTTTGCTTGAGTTTGACGTGTTGCACAGTTTGCAAACATGACAAAGCTTGCACCTTGGAGGTTCAGTTTAATAAAAACTAAAAAGAGAAATCTGCAAAGCTGCTGGTATTATCAACTGCCGTCATTTTGTCGCAGTTGCACGATGGCTGGTTAATACCAGTTTTCTGCAAGTAATTTGTGCAACAGCATTTTGTACATACTGAGTTTTGGCCATCAGTCTTGAAAGATGTTGCAATAAAGTGCATGTTTAAATCATGTTTCTGATATTCCACAGGTGCAACATTTCCAGCAGAATGTGACCATTTTGGTGAATTGCTTAAAGTCGGATGTTAAACTGCTTAAACTGCAACCTCTCAACCCACACAAAGGATCGACTATCACACTATGGATGACAAAGTTAGTCGCAGCTCAGCTGACTCCTTGTCTGTGACGGATGAGTTTGTGGTTGTCACGCCCAACTCAGAGAAGGCGGCCGAGCCAGCCCCGGACAACGTGTCCACGGCCTCGGCTGAGAGCATGGGGCTGAAGATCGTGGGCAACGGGAACATGGAAGACCTGAAGCAGCACCTGGACGAGATGCTGAGCGGAGACCAGTCGGACAGCAACGGCGGTCACAGAGCGCCCTCTGTGGGCGGCAGCGGGCAGGAGACCCCGACCAATGGCGGCCAGTTCCGGGGGCGGAGTGTGAGTGAACCCGCCCAGAGGGCCGGGATGGTCTACACAGCCAACAACCCCTCCCACCAGCTGGGTGATACTGGAGGGAGCCCCACCGGCCGGCCAATGTCCAAGGATGATTTTGGTGAGCGGATTCTCACTGGTCGTGTGGGCAGTTCACAGGTTAGGGGCCCGGGGTCGGCCGGGGAGAAAGAAGTGGACGAGGGTGGGCTTGACCCTTGGGAACCAAGGTCAGGCCCCGATCGCCCGAGTAAGTTTCCATTTTTCTTGCCTTTCGGGGAAAATTGGTTGGTGCATCTTGCCACAGAGTAACCGGGAACCCACAGCTCGCACTAAACCCTCAATCACGGTATGGTATCATTTGTTCATTAATTCAGTGGTCCGTCTTGACTCCATTCTCATTTCATCATGAATTAATTTGCCAATACTAAAAATGTACCCTCGAGTTAGCCTGTATTTGTTCCAAAGGTGTACTCATGCAGCAAACAGTTAATTTTTCTTTAATTCCTAAGCAATAACCTCAGACTAATCTTTGTGGTGGTTTTATTAACAATTTTAACTCACATAACGTGTGTTTGGACATTATGCATCACCATTCATTGATGAGTTCATTTCATTCACCAGAGCATACCCAGCGCATTCATGATAGCAGACAATGAGATAAGTACATGTACATGTTTACTAAACATGCTGCATGTTACTGACTGGTCAAGTTTACAACTGTCAAACTTCCTAAATCAAGGGGTCAGAAACTTCATGTTTCACAACCATGATAATGCGTGCAGTGCTCAATATTGTGGTGAGTTTCAGCTAAATATACTACAACACTTGGGGCTGGTTTAGTGTGAAATAGTACCATTTCGCTTCCTGTTTGCTGTGTTACTTTGGCCATGCATTGTTAAAAACTGATTACGGTGTAATCAAATGTTGGTAATTGAAGTAGGCACACTTACGCGTGTATCTGTAGAAAACTGGACTCTGAGTTTGATACATATCCCTAAGAATCCCCAACCAGATAAACTCCAACACCAGGCTTTGTTGAAATTTTTCAGAATGAGTACTGTACCCCTAAACTGGCTGTGTTTTATGTGGGATTAGGCACACCACAAACAGAGTCCACCTGTTTATGTGCACAGTTTACTATATGGTGTTACAATTCGCAAGGACGAGGAAGGCTCTGAGTAAATCACTCTAGGGAGTTAAGGTTAAAATACCTATCGGCAGCCCTCGTCTCCCCTGGTTTTCTGAAACAACCTTGAAAACAAACGGCTCACACCAATCCAGTTATATTCCAAGCACTGCCTGAATTTTCTGCTCAAGCCTCTCAGCAGATTGCCTGGTAATGTCTCACAAATGGTATGCATTTGAACATTTTTCCTGTCGACACAACTTCACAAATTACCAAGCAAACCAGGCATAAATCACCACAGGAAAATAAAATCTTGTCTGTAAATTATGCATCGTTTTCAGCGGTTCCCTCTGTTATTTTTGAGATTGAAATGGATCACTGTCAGTTGTAGAGTGCTATTTCAACCTTTCATAAGGGGTCAACTTAATTCATTTTCATGCACACAATTTAAATACAGTTATGCACTTTATTCGTATTCTATGTATGTTCTAGATTTAAACCTGTGGGAATGGTACAAGTAGAATCACAAGGCTCAGTGGAAATTAGTACAATGGAATCTGAGAAATCAGACTCCAAGGCTTTGTTTAAACTAAGTGGCTGCAGCTGTGGGTAACGTACACATCTATGGGAAATGACTGTACATGTAGCCGCTAGCCATACCAACAACTTCCTGGATCTGGCCTTATCCTGGTACATGTATTTTAACCGATTTTGTACCCTCCGCAGACCGACTGAGTCCTTCGCACGTGGGCGTGGTCCCCATGGACAAGATCTGCACCCTCTTCTCCCGCATCATCTACCTGGGCGCGGCCACCGTCAATGCCCCCAAGAGTGAGATGGAGGCCACCAAGAACATGTCCATCCTTAAGCAGCAGCAGTCCCGCAACGCAATCGAGATTGTGCTGTCGGTTCCGCGGACCTCCGAAGGATCAGTCAGGTAAGTTTTCCTTACTTACAGACTAATCCAATGAAATGCCATAATTACAGTGGCACCGCACTCGCGCACAAATTCTTCAGCTTAGCATACGCGTGCATTTGGCAAATCACGACACCCTATTGATCGAAGAGACCTGTCATGTACCCGTACCGCCTGTGGCATGAACATGTAGCCACCTCAGTGTCAGCGTCCAATTTGGTTGTCGAATGACGCTATAAGAGGTTTTTGAAAAATATCAATTTTACTCATTATTAAAATCTTACATCCAGAAATATAATTCATTAGGGGCAAAATTCAACCCATAAAGAGTGGAGATGGCAAGGCAGAAGAGGAATAAAATTCCTATAGCCAAAAGGTTCAGCCTGTCAGTCGGGGAAAAATAAAGATGGAGACAAAGAATCAATTAACTAAGAAATAAGTATTACAAAATGCATGGAGCCAGTGAGATCACACAAAGATACAGCGATACAGCGATAAAAATGCTGAGAAATTGCTGCGATCACAAATGGTCACCAGATAAGGAAGGCTTCCCATCTCCTAGCATCGGTTGTATGTGTCGTGTCAAAGGAGGACAAAAGCTCTCTCTCTGAGCTACAGTTAACGTTAGGCTAACTACAGAAGTCAGGAAATTGAGTTGTTTGTAGTGCCGGTAAGATGGGGTCTAATGGGAATAGTAGTGGGCGCTTATGCGGTCCATCTGCAAGAGAAAAGTGTGGACATGTGGCATCACCGCATTGGTTTCACACTGAGTGTTAAGCCAAGAGCATGGATGGCACTCAGCAGCATGACACATTTGTCACTGAATTTGCATGCATTTGTATATGAACAGTTACGGTAAGGCTAAAAAATAATGCAGCGTCTTTTGTGTTTATGCGCTTTTTATTTTTTTATTTGTTTTTTAATTGTTTTTTATTCCTCCAGTGTCTCTTTTTGCGCATATGCACAAGACATGTACCAGTACATGTACTTGTGTCTCGCCAGTGACTTTTTTCTTCCAGCCAAAAACAGATGGACACTTCAGAACTCCTCATCTCAAATCATATTGAGTTTTGGAAGTAAACCTCAGAGTGCAGAGTTTGAATTTGATGTCTGTGGGTCAATTTAATGATCAAGTGGGTTTTATTTCCAACTGCTGTTATTCTGCTGAATAATGCTGGGAACCCCCTCCCCCAATTTAACGGTACAAAGGTAACGTTGTTGTAACACCCATGCACGTCTGTCCAGTGTTGGTGTTATTTTTTCATCCCGTGTGAGAGTACGTTAACACAGCCATCATTCTTCAACTCTTCCAATGTGATGAAGAGACCACCAATTGCGGTATGGTGTTTGAGTGCATGTGTCGGTAGAAAGTACATGTACCTGTGGCAGTCCTGTGAAATAATTTCTGTCCAGTAAATTGTCACAGCTGACGAAGCAGTAGTCCAGTGTTTTTTGTTTTTTCCCAACAAATTTTAAAAGTATATCATCTACAAATGCAAGAGTTTCAGACCTTGAGAAATAATGAGGTGACAGATAATGCAAATTACACCTTGCTCATACCCGACAACAAAAAATACATGAGTCATAGACAGTAATGATAGAACCGTTGAGCAAGGAAACAGACGTGGATTGTGTAAGAGCTTGGTGCCTGATGTACAGTGTTTACCCCATCAAGTGACAACATCTGGCATTGCAGGCACGGTGCCGATGCCTGTGTTGCATCCATCTGACCTGCAGTGGCCTTCTTTCGCTCTTACATGGGCACGATTACTCAAATCATATGACAGGGATGAAACTTGAGCATTGTACATGGATGAGTCATCAGTGTGAAAGACTGCAGCATTGTTTCTGTTGTACATGTCCACACATGTGTACATGTACTGGTGTACATGTACACACAGAG